GGTTTTGTTTGTAATTCGTATCTTCTCTTTTAACTTTTTCATTTTTCATTTTTAGTTACTTTAAATGAAAAGAAGCTGATTTTTTTCAATAAAAACATAGTTTATTTTATACAATACAGTATTGTTAAATTTATTAATTGTTACTCATTAATTGTAATAAATGTGTTCTTAGCCAAAAAATCTGTTATTAATAATCTTAATTCAAAATGTAACCTTTTATTTTCACGATGTTAAAATTAACAAATTAAAAATCAAGATAGAAAAATGAATATGAAAATATAATAAATTATAATATATAATTAAAGAAAAGATTGGGACTGGAAATCCAAATTGGTTTCTGGTTATATTCATTTTTTAAGAAAAATGAAAATCTGGATTATTTTCATGATCTGGAAACAATTCTACGGATTTTGCCGATTTGTAAACAAAAACAATAGTAATGTTATAGTATTATTATATTAATATTACTTATTTTGAGGGGAATTTCTAAAATATGATTGGAGTTAATTAAATAAAACCCGTTATAATTATATATTACAATATAAAATTATAATTGTAATAATTATTATAATTCGTCTGTTTGCGGTTACTTGAAAAAACTCTTAAATAAGAAATTGAATCACATTATAAACAAAGAAGTCAATTTCAGAAAAAATAAATGAGTAATTTGACTTATTGTCTTTCTATTGAAAGATGGTCAACAAATGGTAAAATTGTCGATTGTAATCAGTTTATTTATCATTTTTTATTAAAATGATGAATCACAATAAAATTATTATTTGGTTGTTTGAAAGGAAAAGCAAATCAGACAGTAATTGAAATTTTGTTTTTATTAAACAAAAATTATATTCGTGTGTTTAAAGCAGAATCAACTATAATTTATAGTTCCAATAGTTTAAAACAAATCAAAATAAACAATACCAAGTTTTAATAAAAAGCATATTCACAGGGTAAAAAAGGACAAAGCATCCTATTTTAAACCAATTACTTGTTTTTGCTTTGTAAAAATACAAATCCAACAAAAAAGTAAAACAATGAGTGAAATTGCTAATTTTGTTCAAAATGAAAAAATACACAAATTTCATTTTGAAATTCACCCTAATATTTGAAGTATTATAAATATATAATGGTACTAAAAGTGAAGAAAATATTTAAAATTTGATGGTATTTTAAAATATTTTAAAATACTTTACCTTATGGAAAATTTCATTGAAGGAAATTTTTATTAATTTATAAACAAATTTATAGTTTTATTATTTTTAATTCAAATCCTTTTTTTTTAAATTGTTATTTAAATGGTTTTAATAAACTTATAATAATATACATAAGTTTTGCATTAAAAATAATATTCATATTGGTTTGAACAATTTAAAACATAAATGACATTAATACAATTTAATGTTATTAGTACAGTTTATCATTTACTATTTTTAGTCATTTTAAATTATAAAAATCTTAATATTTAGAAATAAACATCCCAATTGCTATGGGATCAATGTGTTATTTAACATTTTTAATGCTTTAACAAACCAATAATCATTTGTCCACAATCAGAGTTTTCAAAAACAAACAGATATATTTCAAGTTAAGGGATTAAATCAATCCAATGTTGTTGTGCTTGTGCCAATACAAACACAATCGAATAAAATTACTTTATATTTGTTTTTAAAATTAAAATAAAGATTTTTCAATCATAAAAAGAACGTATAATTACAAGTTATCAAACACATCATTTAATTAATCATACAATCAATACAACATAATACAACAATCAAAAACTTAAATGCAGCATTTCGAATCAGTTGACATATAACAACAAATTTGAACTTAAAACATCATCAAGTAAAACAGAAACCCAAATAATTGTAAAAAGAAATCTTATCATATATCAATTTCATGTGAATTGAATCAACCTCCATGTGAAAGAAATAAGGTTAAAAGTAATTAAGATAACTTGTAACTTACGGGTGTTATATGTACAAATTCGGTATAGTATCTAAAAAAAAAGGCGTCTCGATGTATTTATCTAATTCTAGTTCTGCTCTTTATTTGTATTATTTTTAATAAAAATAAAATTATTAACCATTAAATAATAGTTGTTTATAATAAAATATAGTTACTTTTTTCTTAGCCCAATAATTTTTCACCAACTCTACTATTATTGTAATTATTTTTTAATATATGAATTTCATAACACATAGTTCAGGCAAAATAAACTATAGTTATGGATTAATTCATTTTTATTCGAAAATATAATTATATTTAATTAAATTTTTATAAAATGAATCTATATATATATATTAATTAATTTAACAACATAAATAAGGAGTGACAATCCCTCAGAAACATCGAAAAAAAGTCATCTTAATAATACTATCTATATTTATCATATCTGTTTAAATATTTTATTATCGAAACATCATTTATTCTTTTAAAAAACTTACAATTCAAATAAAGAGAATGGAAATTGAGATGACAAAAGAAGCAAAACATTCCCGTGGGAAGTTGCTGAACGAATCCACAAATTACGCAGACCGAATGACACATATGGACATCCTCTGCAAAACACCAAAAGTGCTCAAACAACTTTTAATCGAAAATCCTCGCATCATCGAGCGATTAATTCAAGACACTATTCCACTCATTGTGTACACAACTAATTACACCCTTCAAACCGCACACAAAATATTGAATGTGTTAGAGTATTCTTTATTGTGTAACAACTCAGTGTTTACTGTCCCACAGTTTCAAGCGTTTTTATTCGATTGTTTATGCGTTGAGACTGAGTCGTCGCTTCGCCTTCGTGCACTCAGAATCGTTTTACAAAGCCTTAACTTGTACAACTCATATGACTCTTCCCAGGTATTAATGATCATCGGGTCTTTAAACCTCTCGGCATTCACAAACACCAAAAATGACTTAAGTTCAAGTACCTTAACTTCACTTAAAGAAATTAAACCGTCTGATCTCAAACACGTTGACATCCAAACAAATGTCCAACTTGTTGTCCCAATTCTCAACTACAAAACCCAACATTTCTCATTACCAAAATCAACAATTAGCAACTGTTTTCAAATGCTCGAGGTTTTGTTGAATGAAGTGGTCACAAAGAAGCGTCGAACTAAGGGTCTGATGACTATTTTCATGCTTACTATGGAACTTCTGTTTCCGAATTTACAGACAAATAGACTTGCCGAACCCTCTGTCATTTCATTTTCGGGGCTAAAAGAGCCCAACCCAGACGTTTTCAATTTGATAACTTCAAAGCTTTATTCGATGAGAACGGAGGATATCTCTGAGATGGTCGCAGAAGCCGATGGAGTCCTTGAATTCTACTTAGAAATTTTGAAAATTGCGACGAAGAGCGACTTGAAAACAATTAACTCCGCAATCGACTTTTACTTCACAAATTTCATATCACAAAATGAAATTGAAGGAAAGATCAACACGGAGATATACACCAACTTTAAAGTGAAAATAATCGAAGAGATACAAGACAAAATCAACCCACCAAGCGACCAAATTGGAACAAAAATGTTCCTTCAAATACTCTTTGGTGTTATTTTAAAGTCATGCACCGACAGCCTCCCACATACAGTCAAACGCGCTTTAATCGCATTGACCAAGGTTTTTGCGCAAAAGTTTTTCGACTCATTCCTTCATCAAAATTCAGACACAAAAAATGAAAAAGAGTCACAGCAAAATGCGTCGCAGTGTGATGTCCAAAAGGAGAATGCAAAAATACTTACGCACATGATTCTCTATATTTGGTTGTATTATAACAATAACGTGGAATCGGAGTGGGACGAATTGTATAAATTAATGAACAAATATTATACAATAGATGGGGTCATAGAAGGCATTACAGACATCTTTGGGCATTTAGTGTTATGTGTTGCACATCAAGTATTTGAAAATCCGGAAGACGACAAAAATATGGCACCAAACGCTTTAGTCCCTCTCGTTATTGAAATACCACAGAGAGAATCCATCAAAGATAAAATGGCGATACCAGTCCACTTCGACGTGTTTTATTCAAAAATGAAATTGCCTATACCACAAAATTATTTGAACGCTGTTTCTAACAAGTGGACACCAGAAATCATTGTTGACAACTTCGCACTTCTTCTCAAATTTTATACGACGACGAAAAATGAGAATAATGTTTTACAACTGACACATGTCATCACAGTGACTTCATTACTTGTTCTGTTACAAAGTTGGAAGACAAGAAGGGGTGTTAAAGGGAATGATATACTTAACTTTAAAGAATTGTATATGGAATACTTTGTCGAGGCTATCGAGAATGAAGATCTTGTCATTTCAACATTAACACGGCGAGCAATATTCAAGTTGTTCTGCACATTTGGTGCTTCGAGTTATGGGTATAAATTGCTTGTGTATTTGATCGACCATTGCCCCGATGAGGCTTTGTACACTGCTCTTGAGGATATATCGACTATATTCTCCACTATGTCTCCTGATAGTTTCATTCTCATTCCTTCAATTCTCTCTGCTGTTTTGCGTCTCCCTGACTTCCCAGTATTAAAAAGTTCCAACGTCCAAACGGGCAATTATCTTTCTTCGTTTATGTTCAACACAGACGTTATACAACCAACTGTGAATGCACCTGCGACTATTTCTGGGTTGTTGAGTACGTTACTTTCTTTAGCGGTGTATGGAGAGGTTGCGTTACAGCTTAAAAACAAAGAGAAAATCAACGAATCGGATGATTTTGTTGTTGAAGTTGAACCTTATAACATAATTATCGAAATTATTCACTGTGTTAAACACTTGCTCTCAAAAACAAAGAGTCCGGTCTGCCATATTATGTCGCTTTGGTGTTTGACTCAATGTGTATGTGAGGTTGGGTCCGAGACTGCTGGTGGATTTGAAGAGACCAGAAGTGAAATTGAAAATATTGTCGATTTTATGATCGAAGAGGTGAACGACGCAGACTTTGAGATTGTGAAAAATGCGCAGATGTGCATCGACTTTATTGGAAATCACTCGAGCGAATTAAAGAAAGAAGTGATAGAGTATATCATCCAAAGTATTTGCAAGAAGATGTACACTGTGGGGAGCCCGGAACGTCGGGGAAGTCTTCTTCAAAATATTTTAAGTTTTATCACTGGGGAGAAAACCTTCTTTGAGAGAATGAGCGAGAAAACCGTTTGTGAGTGTTTTAGAGTCGTTGAGAGTTACAACAAAAAAGGAGTTGCGAACACATTCAATACCACTAGTGAGATTACCACTACTCAAAATAGTGACTTCTTGTGTGATACATTTGTCAGTAAAATCATCAAAGAGAGTGTTGGGCATTCTCCATTTTTTATTGAAAGTGGGGAAGACGTTCTTGTAACTCCAAAGAATACAGTGAACTTCATATACAATGAACGCATATGGAGTGTGTGGAGTGATGAAAAGGGGATTCACTTAATAGTTCGAGATATATTGGGGAAGTGGGGATGGACGTTAAAAGAGATGCGAGAGCGAGAGGATTTCATTGGAGACGAAGAGACCATTCCCAAAGAAGCAAAAATTGGTGTTGTTCTTTGTCGTAATAATAAAGTGCGAGAAAAGATTGATGTTGAAGACAACGTTTTGGACAAACTTGTTGGCGAGATGGAGAGTGAAGAGATGGACATCTTTCCATCAAAGAAAGCAGTTGGTTTTGACACGGACGAGATGAAGAAAGAAATAGAAGACATCATGAAAGGCTTTGAAATTCTACGTGAAGGGATACAAAAAAGCGAAGAGCGGAAAGATGATATCGAGAAGAAATGTGAAAGCAATGAAAAACAGGAAAATGAAATTCTTCAAAAATCCGGCTCTGTCACAGATATCGTGAAAGCTATTGTCTTCCTCACCAACACAAATCCAAACGAAATAGTTCCAATTCAACTCATTTGCGACACAACATCAAAATTTGAGTCTTGGATGAATCGATTGGACCGAGTACAACCGCGCGAGACTCATAAAATAGGTATTGTGTACGTTGCTCGGGGACAAAGTACTGAAGAAGAAGTGATGTCCAATTGTAAAGGCAGTGATGAGTACTATAAATTTACGAGTCAAATTGGTGAAACAATAAAGTTGGAGAATTGGCAACGATATAGTGGTGGGTTGGACACAAAATGTGGGAGTGATGGTCCAACGTCGACATACTACAGCAATCAAAAATACGAAATCATGTTCCACGAGGTAGTCAAAATACCAGTGAGCAAGAATGAACAATCCTCTTACCAACAAAAGAAACGACACGTGGGAAACGATCGAGTTCACATCGTGTTCTGTGAAAACGACTCATACAACCCGGGCACAATCACAAGTCAATTTAATAACGCACACATTATTGTATACCCCCTTAATGGAATGTATAGAATAGAAATGTTCTATAAAGCTGGTGGCGGATGGGGACCTTTGCAAAATGGAATGTTAGTCGACGGATCGAAGATCGGACGTTTGGTCAGAGAGACTGCAATCTGTTTGGATAAAGCATCCATCTTGCGTTTTACTACAGAAACAAATATGAACCAATTCATGACTCGAAACACAACAATTCGACAAATCATTGATTCAACAGAAGATACAAAACTTGACTTCCTTCATCTTGTTGATAAAATCAAGAGCATCGTGTCAAACTAATCCCTTTAATTTGTTGTTTCTTGTTTTATTTATCTATAATATTATTAAGATAATATATATTATAAATATTATAAATAATTATAATATAATATAATATATTAATAATTATATAATATTATCTTGTTCTAACAATTTATTATATTATAATCATTAATTTATAATTAAATTGTAATAAAATAATATACTGAAATGATGTAGTATTTAGAATTACAAGACTCAAAACAGTGATACTTTATTTGTAAAGTAAAAAAATATTTCAGTTTTCAGACACTATTTTTTTTCGTGTTACAATGTGTCGGGGAAAAGATTTTTCGAGTTTTAAAGAAAAAATCCATAAAAAAGCATTTGGAATTTTTTAAAAACTTGGAATTAGAAAGATGGACGACGCTGCGATACGGACTCTTTGGGAAGATGTACAACATTTCCAATACAAAACGCCGTCGTGTCGTTCCCTTTTACTTACAGAGATGTACACGTACGGAAAGACAACTCATTTTGATTCCTCGCTGACACCAGTGTTGTCGAAAGACACTACACTTGCTGTTCTCTCACAAATATTCCAAGAGACTCAAGACCACCCCGAATACATTTTACTCACAAAATTCATTAATTCGTACGACGGACTTATCGACGTGTTACCACTTCTGCTCCCACAAATTTCTATTTTCCTCTCACACCTCGCAACAGACAAAACAACTATTACCGTGTTGTACGCAGCCGCGCTCATGGAGGTATTTTACCTCATTGTCTCCCCCAATTTAATCGACAAACAGCTCGCCGACTTCTTTACACACTTACCCGAGGACTTGCCAGAACTTTTGCATTTGGCGTACAACATCGCCATACAAAACCAAAAGAAGGGTCCATACAGTTTGCTAGTGAAAAACACGCTCTTCTTTTTCTATTGTTATTTTTCAGTGAAGGTGACTACATTCCCACAGTTTGTTGAGGAATTCATCAACTCGATATTATGGGACGGGTATGGCAAAAGACATGAAGGAGAAGACTGGGAGTTCTACGTTTCTCATCAAATTGGTCTCACACAAATTTTGTTTGCATTTCTGTTTGTTTCTTTCTCATTATTTTTGTTGCTTAAGACAAGTTCTTAGCGTGCTGACTGAAAGTAAAAATGAAGAAAAGAGGAAAGAACTTCCAAAATTGTTTCTTCGCATTTTCGAGGATTTTGTCTTCACTCAGGAACACATGCAAATGAAACAATTCGACAAATTTCTTTTACCGATTGTGAAAAATGAGAATGCCAATTTCATTGTGTTAGCTATGGAACTTATTGTGGAGCAATTACCTCCAGAAGGTAGTCCGTTTGTGATAGCCACTTTTAACATCATTTCCTCGTGTTTTAGAAATGATGTTTTGATATTAGAAACACGACAACACCTTGTGAATACCATGTTACTCCCAAAGAATATCGAGACGTTCTCAGTGTACCATGAATATCACATTCTTCTAAATAACTTGGCGTCATCTAATCAAGGACAACTTTTCAGACAGTTTTACACCAACGAAGATTACAAAAATTGCATCACAAAAATGTTACAGAACACCATCGAAAAGGTGACACCGGGTTTGTTGGTCAATTTCTGTGTGTTGCTTGAGTTTGAGAAGAATGTCAATGAGAAATTGCCGATATTGATGCATTGCATCGTCCACTTTGTTGAACGTGATCCATCTCTGGCACTCTTTTGTGCAAAACAGCTCCACACTATTGTGCATCAAAGCTTTGTAATAACTAAAGAAAATGTGCACGCGCTCGTGGATTTATTCGACAATTCGATAAACAAGCAAGTCATTTTCACCATCATCGAACTCTTTGCGACACTTCTTTTAAATTTTGAGAATCGAGTGATCATTAAAAGTGCGTTCAATCATATCAAAACAAAGGTCATTGGACTTGGCCCTCTCTTACAGACCGAAGTCCTCTCGAAAATGTTTGTCATGTTATGCTCAAATGCAACGATTTTAAATCGAAAGTTGGTCTGTGTTGATACCCTGAGTTCTTCAAGTCCACCACTTATAGTTACGTTTTCTTCAATGTATCCATTAATGTTAGAATTGATCATTCAAAACAACACAAAATACATCCAGAAAGCGTTCACTGATTTAGTCGCAGCGAACTCATTTAACACTGCAAAATTCTGTACTAAGTGTTTTTCTTCATTGATGCACATCTTGGCACAATTGGATGACTCAGACACAAAGGAATTTTTGGTTTCTCTTGCATCCATTGCCTTCACCCCGTCGTGTTCAGTTCAACAAATGAGGTGGATGATGCGCGAAGCGATGCAATCTGACTCTTTCTTCTCCGACAACTTTGTTATCTTAAAAAAGGTTCTTGAGGAGACGAGTTCACAAGAGTATCATTCCTTCTTCTTCCGAGGGTCTTCAAACATTCAGAGTCATTACCCGGCCCCTTTTAACTTAAATCACTCGTCTATTGTTCTGTGGTTCAACCCACAGACCATCAATGACACTCAACAAACGTTACTGACATTTTCTTCTCCTGAAGGAAATGCACTCTCCGTCTCACTTCTCGGTAAGTCGATCATATTAGAAATATCAGACAAAAATGTCTTCAAAACATCCCTCGACAATGTCATTGGACAAGATCATTGGTATTGCGCCGTATTCACCTTTCAAACACTACAGAAGAATCCACTCGTCTTGGTCAATTCATACATTTTGGCAATTGCGTCAGGAAAGGTCGACCAGAACTCTTCAAGTTGTTTGTTCTCGCAGAATTTGGTGACGTTTTCAGATGAAATGTTTGGTGCAACAAAAGTGGGTGGCCGTCTTACCAACTTTTTTATTGGGCACATCTCCTCATGTCTTATTTTCCCTGCAACTCTCTCGAGAGAAAATGTCGAACAAATCAGGAAAAACAGTGAGACGTATCGGTCACAGCCAGAGTTGTTTGGGCAGAGCACAAAGAAAGTCTTTTTATTGTCAGTGACCCCTGTCGACGTGCAAAACTTGATTTCCGAGACTCCAATTGAGCTTGAAAAGACGCGCATTGAAATTATCGAAAGTCATTCAAACATTCATTCCTTCCAAATGACGGGGTCTTTTAGGTACATTTTCTGTGTCTATGAGAAGCTGTATGACTCACAAAAAAATCTCAAAGTGCAGCGGAAATTTTTGGAGCGGAAACGACAGAACTTCAGTCAGAGTGAAGAGGTCCAAATAGCTCGCGACACATCACTGGTGTTACCAAAAAAGCGTGTGAAGTGGAATTTAAAAGAGATGAATACAAATCTATTTCGAAGCGAAAACGCACTCACATTCACTCAACCGAACAAACAAATCAGAAGTTTGATTGGTAACAATAGATCAAAAAAGACGGAAGAAGTCATTAAAGAGACTCCAGAGAGTATTGCCCTTGATGCGTTACTTTCGATTCTTCTCTCTGTAGTGAAGAACCCCAAAATGAAAGAAGAATTTGAAGGTACAAAGTGTGTGATGTATCTCCATTACTTACTTCTCAAACATCCAACGAGTGGTATTTCTGAAAGTAATGTTGTGAAGTTGATTCAACTCTCTGACATTTTTAAAGAGGGAGAAACACAAAAGAAGTTCTCTGAGATCTTCTTTGATCTTAGAATATGGGCGGGGTGTCCAATTGATATTCAAGTCTATATCATTAGTAAAATCACGTTTATGAAGGGGGAAGTCGACGTGATGCGAATGGTTCTTATGATGGAATTGACTGGACAGCCAACGGGGATGGTGAAGAGTCTTCGAAGTATTAAAGAGGAGGTGAAAGATCGAGAGAAGGAGATTGGTCGTGAAGAAAAGGTCGAGATCCATTCCAACTACATCTCTGCGCTTTTCCAAGTAGCCATCAACAAGATAGGAATTGAAAATGTATTAGCATTCACACATTATTTGTATATGATCAGAGACGATGAGTTCATACGAGACACTCTTGATGTGTTGGTTATCCATTTGCACAACAATAAAAAGGAGTATCAGATGTACAGCGAACAAATTGTGAATGGGTGCATTAACATCCAATCGATTGTCCCATTCAAACAACAGTACAAAGTCCTTTCAATCATTTTTTTGTTTTTGGACGTTGTTATGGTCAGCAACATCAATTTTGATTACTCAACAATCACTTTATTGATTCTGAACTGCATCTTTGTGGCGAAGGAGTTCGACACAAATTTGTATTACTTACTCATTGCACAACAACAGAAGGTACAAACCCTCGTCGATGTCCCGAAGATATGCTTCTTCGGGATGCGATACGTCAAATCACAACAGACAAGAGACGAAATGTGTGATATGGTACACAACAAAACAGTTCATGACAATTTCCCAGTGACCGCTTTTGACATCCCACAGACACCCCTTGTCATGATGAATTGTATTCAACTAGCAGAAAACAAGACAAAGTACTACAACTTACTTCGCGTATTTATCATTAAAAAGATGACTAATTTGATGTCGAAGAACGTTATCAAAGCTGAAGAGTTTTCGGACTTCTTAATGAGTGGAGCGTTTTACTTTAACGAACAGATGGAGCTTCAGAACGACACAGAAAGCATTTTAATACTGTTCTTTGTCTTCGAGCAACTCAATTTACAAATCCGGCCAAAGGCACTTAAATTGAAAGAGAAGGCGATGAAAGATAAGGGACTTGTTACACGAATAGTGTGTTCGTATTTCGCACGGAGTTATGAATTACTTCATAAAGTGCAATGTGAGTTACTTGAGAGGGATGATTTCAATGATGCGAAGTGTTCGAGTGGGAGAAGTTGTATAATGCTACTCCTTTCTTTAGCAAAAGAGATGAACAAACTTCCCAAAGAGAATATGAAGATGCAGAATGGGTTTGGGAAGAGTCTTGGAATTGACGACATCATCTTTCATGCGTTGATAACACTGTTGTACATCTCTGTGAGAGACAAGAAGAGTCTTAATGAGTGTGTCAATGAACTCATTCGATTTGTGAATGAACCCAAATTTGAAGTGACGTTGTGTGTTGGGTGTTTTTATGCACTGAAGAGTATCACTGATGTGAGTCAATACAATGAAGTGCGACGAATATTTCAGAAACTCGGCCCTGGCGTTGTAACAAAGATAAAGAATGAAGTGAGTTCAATGCAAGAACAAGAGAGTGTCGATACCACAGACGCAATTTTGTTTTCTGATATCATCAATGGGATGCCTGTAACAACAAGTGAGCTACCACGTGTAAGAGAGAATGAGTGCATGAAGCGAGTGAAGGATGTTCTTGTGTTAGACGAAAAGAATGGAATGAATTACCAACTCGATCTGGAGACGATCTTACTTGTTATCAAAGAGAAGAATTCTGAGTTTGGGAAAACAGTGAATGCCACCAACAGTGTTATCGTCAAGAAATTTGGAGAAAAGCTGAATGAGATCCAACCCATCATTGAATCAAATAAAGGACAAATAAAACGACTTGTAGAGGAACTCAATGAAGACCTTTCACAAAAGGAAAGTGCGTGGAAGAGATATGTTGAAGGACGAGGAGAGTTCAGAGACCCATTGTTACATGACAGTAGAGAGACATTCAAAGAAAAGATGGGGCGCCCCGTCAA